GAGGGACCTGCCGTGGGACACCGGGGAGGACAACGCATGAGTCCTGATACGGAATATTTAGGACAGAGACCAAAAAGGGGGGAAAGGGAGGGATCGTGGTGGTCTGGGGGAGCGCGTGTGGGCAAGCAGAGGGCGAGGGGGATGGAGGGGGCCTGGAGGGTGCTGCTGCGGCCCCGACCAGCCTCAACTCTCCTCCCCGAGCACCGCTTCCGACCCTTTCTGAACATGAACCAAGATGCTGACAGCAGTCTGGATAATTCTGGCTCGTGGATAAATTCGGGATGAATTTAGGCAAAATCTTGAAGCGTGTTTCCTTGAAATCGGTGTCATATTTGCCTACCAAAGAAACGTTTCGCAGAGTCTGGGTTTCTGAAAATTATTCTGTCTGCCTTGGTAAGAAAAGGCACCTTTGTAGTGTTAAGTGGCTCCGAGGAGCGGCTGACATGTTGACTGATGTTTTCTTCGTCTCCTTTGAACTGCGAAGTCGGAGCTGAATGCTCTGTTCGTCAAAAGGGAAGCGATGAAATCGAAAGAGAAGTAGCTTGAAAAATTCCAGGCAAACCAAGAGGGAGTTACAAAACATCAGTTCTGGTTTTCAGAGACTAAAGCAATGCTGGAGATTAAAATTACATACGCTTAAACTTCACAGTTGAACACATTAATGGGAGAAATATGAAATTGAAAACAATTCTTTGAGGAATAAACTGTAGATTTAAGCTAATGGACTGTGCCATAAAAAGACACCCACCCAGCTGGTGTTCACTGTAGTGCTGCAAAACTGGTGTTCCGTAGTTACACTCAGTGTAGTTCATTACGCTCCAAGTGAAATTTTAAATTAGGCACCTGAACCGAAACTATTTAACAAAACTACAAGAAAGTCTGAATTTTGAGCAGGTTTTTGCACTGCAGGTCCCTCTAAGGTGTGGTTACAGCTGCGGGGAGGTGCTGACCTTAGAAATCTGGTGTTCCCAGAGAGGAAGAAGACAAACTCTCACAGTCTCCTTCCATGAAAGAGGCATTAACATGCATTAATACCCTCCCTTCCCCTAGTTTCTGGTTTCAGTGTGTGTCCTGATTTGATGGTACTCAGCGTGGAGGAGCTGAAAGCACCGGTCAATAAAAGGAATGCGCTGGGGCCGCGGGTCTCGTCTGACCTGAGAAGCTGGGGTGGGATAGACCGGTGTGATGTGAACGCTCTTCTGCCCGGATTCACAGAATCACAGAACTGTTTGGGTTGGCAGGGACCCTTAGAGGCCATCTAGCCCAACCCCCCTGCCGTGGGCAGGGACATCTTCAGCCAGATCAGGTTGCTCAGAGCCCTGTCCAACCTGGCCTGGAATGTTTCCAGGGATGGGGCCTCCCTCCATGCCTGCTCTGTTTGCGTTAAATATCAGGATGAATTAAGCTAAACTGTGGAAAGCTGCACAGGAGTCCAGAGAGGTTCTAAAAACAGGGGCAGAAACGAGTGCCAAGCACCCCTTTGGAAGAGCCCGAGCTCCTCCGGTTTGTGGGAAGCAGAAGAAATCGAGCGCACACCCCTGAGCCGAGACGGGCCCGCCTCCCTCTGAGGGTGACGGAGCCCTGGCCCAGGCTGCCCAGGGAGGCTGTGGAGTCTCCTTCTCTGGAGATATTCCAGACCCACCTGGACGCGGTCCTGTGCAGCCTGCTCTGGGTGACCCTGCTTGGGCAGGGGGTTGGGCTGGGTGACCCACAGAGGTCCCTTCCAACCCTGAACATTCTGTGATTCTGTCATTCTGTGAACAGTGAAGCTGAGAAGGCAATGGGTGGTAGCAGAGAGCAAGGCAGCACCAAACCCACGGAGCCGGCGAGGGTGCCCGCAGCCGGCGCCGGGAAGCGGAGACCAACGGGGCAATGTGGAACAGGGAGCAGCCAGTGCAGGGATCCATTGGAGCTAAAAAGTAAAAAAGCCTGAAGAAATAACAGCAGCACATTAGAGGTGAACTGTGAGGAGCACTCTCTGGTTTTGAAGCAGAAAGTCGGCATCCCATGTGTAAGCAAAAATTTCGGTGGACTTCAGTTTTGGCTGCGGCCCGGTGTTGTAGGGGACATGCTATGAAACATGTTTGTTGGGAAGAGATGAACATTTGCATGCCTGCAGCAGCTCATCAAGACTATTTTCTGTAGCCCACCGTTCTCTGTAGGGTGTAACCCAGCAGCTCGAGCCCTGCACAAAGCAGGCACGGCTTCTTCGCCGGCCAAACCACGTCAAGAGCTGCGCTGCCCACGAAGCGCAGGATTTTTAGGAGCGGCTCCATAAATGTCGCTTAGTCCCCTCTGCCTCGCCCGTGGTGGGAGCAGGAGCTCGGAGGGCCTCTGCCCACGCTGCAGCAGGTCCCGTCCCACCTTGGGCTTCAGCTCTACTGAGCAGCTCAGGTCTGGGCGCAGTTCAGAAAGAGGTGCCTGAGCGAGGAGGATCTTCTTGTCTTCCTACACCTTCCTCCATCCTCTTGCTGAAGAGCAGCACTTAAGGTTCGGCTCAGGCTTAGGGCCACGTGGAAGGTAGAAAGCCTGCAAGCTAGAGAGCCGTGCACCTCCTCCAAGACTCACTCTGTACCCAGCACGGAGCGTTCCCGCTCCTGCACGGTGCAGACAAAGGGTCGAATCTGCAGCACGGCTACAACCCCGAGAGAAAAACGGGGTCACAAATATAGGCCAATTACCCGTGCATCACGGAACAGGAAATTTTGCAGAACAGCCTTTTTCTTTTTCGTTTGCTCATCTCCCAATGTGGTTGGCTCTTGTGGTCTTTGAATTTCAGAAAAAGGATGCATCCTGACTCATGCTGTTGTATAACAGCGTTGTCACAGATCACCAGGGATCTCTTCACAGAATGACAGAATCACAGAACGTTAGGGGCTGGAAGGGCCCTCTGTGGGTCACCCAGTCCAACCCCCTGCCGAAGC